CAGAAAAAGCCATTGTGCCAAGCGTGGAAGTATTTTGCATAGTTTTAATGCATATGCAAACCCCCATTCATGGTAATAACAAAAGGTGACTAGAGCTGTACCCAGACTATAAAACTTTTTCAACCCCAATTAAAACTCATTTCAAACCTTTGCTGAACTGTCCTGTGACATCCTGTATCCTCAACACAAACGATTAATTTGCTCAGTAAATAAGAGGTCTGGCAAAAATAAAGAAACAAGACGTTGTAGCTTTTCAAGAGGTGTCAGTGTCCCACCTCTCTCTGACGATAATGATAATAAACTGCAAAGGAACAAGTTATAGGTTTATTCCATGCTGGAAAAATAGGGAGAAAAAACACAACGTTTCAGCCGTGAAGCCGAAACGTTGTGTTTTCTTTCTCCCTTTTTTTCAGCATGGAATAAACCTACAGTATTACTTGTTCCTTTGCAGCCTACGCATGCTGACGCAGCTCCCCACCTGAACTATGATAATAAACTGATTGATTATAAAAGGAACCACTGATTCCCACCTGATCACACCTAATTCCTTACCTGAGCACAAATCAGGTGATTATAAAAGGAATCGGTTCAAAGTGCTGTGTTCTGCTGCATTCTCGTCAGGAGTTCATCCACCTTTCTGCCAAATTCTATCCCTAATCTGATGACTTGAAACTGAGCCCCTTTGTGTCTGTGAGTTGCTGTTTCAGAGCACATTTGTATACTGCCGGTGCTTTTATGTATTTGAGTTTGACATAAATGGAAATCACCAGGGCACAGTTGCAGTTTGCATCAAACAACAAATGGCCGTTGTAAAAGGAATTGTTCTGTGCATTCACCTCCAGGAATTCATCATCAGCACACCGTGTGAAGACGCCAAGAAAATGTACATAGGGAACGCGATGAAAGGGAATTTCGCCGCAGTGTTTGCTCAGCTCATAATGAATGGAGAATCTCAAGGTAAATCTTTAAACCCAATTCGTCTGGACACAAATCCTGTTCGTGGGAATATTTCCAAGTTATCCAGAGGTCTCCCCATTGATTGACCCAATCAAGACCAAAATTACTTCCTGGCTTTCATGGAAGAGGTACATTTATGAAGAATAGTTTGAATAGTAATTCACTTTGATTTCATGAGCTTTGAGTAAGATTATGTAGAAAACAACTGCCAGGGTAACTTTCGTGTGTTGCCCTTACCTGTCAGCATTGTCACTGGAAGGGCTCGATAAAACCAGCTGTATTGGCGAAATATATGAATTAAGTTTAATTTGGCAGTGGTTAAGAATCAAAATTGTTGGGTGTTTTAAGATTTAACAGGAAAGTTGCAGAAATCTGTTTTTGGTGCTGCATTAAGAGCTAACTAGTATAGTGACTGGGTGCATGGGTGATTAACATTCTTTGCCTTTTTCTGCTTGTTCCTGTTTGTCAGGCCCACACTGTTTCATCGTACCTATCAGAGATCAGAATGGGAATATGTACCCAGGAGTCACTGCCATCGATATGCAACACAAAGAAGGTAGGTTCCGAGGCTTTTCTCCCAAGAATTTGTGTGAGAGAGTATCCGCAAATAGGTTTGCTGGGACAAGGATACCCCAGCAGTGCTAACTGAGGTTTGTGTCTTGTGATTTTTCAGGACAGGAGGTCCATTTGTGTATTACTCAGGTGGTTGAGATTTTTCCAAGAATGAGATCCCACCTGTCTGCTCACTCTTTATGAGCGTGGAGGACGGCACTATGGGCAGCACTTTTATTGTGATCGTGCATGTGTTGACGATAGGTGTAGGGTCACTGAGGTTAGGGTTTGGGTGTCTGTTTGAAAAGTCCAATTCAGAAGTAAATTTATTGGACTAACAAGGTTATATTCTAAAGCACTTTAAGAAAACAAAAACAGTACAAAAGAAACAATGCAAAGGGCTATTACAACAGAGCAAATAATAATCATGTAAAGTTTAGGCTTCTATAAACAAAATATAATAATAATTTAAAGAATGTTTACTGATCTGGGTTCCTGGAAATTATCATTGGTTTAAATGGTAGTCAGACTATTTAGAATGGCTCACCACACACAACATGCTATATCCTAGTTTAGGGGAATAAAATGATTGGCTTGGTTATAAATTAGTTAAAGTCTTGGTTAGAAGAATCAAACTGGTGTGGTTTCTGTTTGTTTGGCAGGCGCTGTCCTGTGTGTGATTATGTGGTGTATAACCTTAAGAGGTGAAATAATGTCTTATCTCGCACCCCAGTCCTCTTCACTCTTTAATTGGCTTTATTATTGGGGTTTGTTTGATTATTATGTTTTCAAAATAATTTCTCCGTAAAGTGCGTTTCTTCCCCTTTGCTCCCCCGAGGTCTCCACGGAGTTGATAATGGAATTCTGGTGTTCGACAGTGTTCGAATCCCAAGGGAGAACCTCCTGAGCAAGTGAGTATGTCATTCGGCCCCAGGATGGAGCCACCTGTACTTACCCACACAACGCGTGAATGTTAGCCGAGCAATGGTCCGTTTTATGTTGTTTTTGCCGAATAGTATATTATTAAAGACAACTATTACCTCAGAGATCTGTGAAAAGTAGGGAAGGAGGAAGCCGAAAATTTGTGGAAAATAGAGGGCATGGAACTGTCTCAAAGCACTGTGATTTTAAAAATCAGGTAAAAATGGTAAATCACAGGGGAAATGGTAAAATGTAACATAGTGCAGTCACAAGGGACTTCACACACAAAAGCTCACAGTGGCCACAAAGAAGTAATGTCCAGAGGATGTATTGTTTGCCTTTTCAGAAGACGGCAAAGACCAGCACTCACAAACCCTCTTCCCCTGCACACCCTTTATCAAAGACTAATTACACCCATGTGAGATTGTGCAGAAGCACTGTTAACCTCTAATCCAATCCATTACATGGATATCCCCTGCTGTGTCCCTTATTAAGGGTTAATGGCTTGCCACTGTTTTATGTTTGTTGTTATTGTTTGTCATAAAGAAGGCTAACCCATAAACCCTAAAAAATCTAAAGCATTTTTTTTGAAAGAGTGAAACTAATTTTGCTCTAAAGAAAGAACTAGAAAAAAGAAGTAGTTGAGGACATTGTGTGTTCTTAATTCCTTAATAATTCCTACAATTTCTGGACACTCCACTCAAAGTATTTTACAGGTAATGCCCTCCACCACCACTGTGCAGCCCCACCTGGATGATGTGATGGCATCCCTGGTGCACCAGTACACTCCCCACACACCAGCTCTCAGCGGGGAGGGAGTGATGAAGTCAGGAAGCCAGTTCACAGATGGGGGATTATTAGGAGGCCATGATGGGGAATGGGGAATTTGGCCAGGACACCGGGGTGACACCCTGGGATTCATACTGTAATGACCACCGAGAGTCAGGACCTCGGTTTTACATCTCATCCGAAGGATGGAGCCTTTTTTTTACAGTATTGTGTCCCTGCCACTATACTGAGGCATTAGGACAGGCATTAGGACCACACAGACCTCAGGGTGAGCGCCCCCTACTGGCCCCACTAACATCTCTTCCAGCAGCAACCTTTTGTTTTCCCCAGGAGGTCTCCCATCCAGGTACTGACCAGCCTCACACCTGCTGAGCTCCAGTGGGCTGCCAGCTGTGAATTGCAAGGTGATGTGGCTGCTGGGTCTATCTTGCACACTGACCCTGAACTAATAAATAATAAACCATTGCCCTCTCTCCCTGTTGTCTTCCTCATGCAGCTGAGCAAGGGAATACCGCGTCATAAGGATGTTCCCATTTCCCTCACTATTTCTCTAACGCCTTTTTCTCATGCCTCACGCAGGTTTGGCTCAGTTTCGGCTGCTGGGGTTTATCACTCTCCCATCAACAGCAAGGGCGCCAGGTTCAGCGCGATGCTGGCTGCGCTGACTCCCACAAGGCTGGCACTGACTGTCCAGGCCATGGCCGCCATGAAGGTGAGACCTGGGCGATCTCACTTCTCTGCAGGGCAGCAGCTCGCAGGTGCTCTTTTTAACAATGCTTTAAAGGCCCGTAGACAGAGCTGTACATTTATATGTTTATTGAGGGGTGAAATTCGGAGGCTGCACTTAATAATAATAATAATAATAATAATAATAATAATTGCTTACACTTATATAGCTCTTTTCTGGACACTCCACTCAAAGTGCTTTACAGGTAATGGGGACTCTCCTCCACCACCACCAATGTGCCCACCATAGTGCGCCAGTACGCTCACCACACATCAGCTCTCAGTGGGGAGGAGAGCAGAGTAATGAAGCCAATTCATAGAGGAGGCCATGGTAAGGGCCAATGGGAAATTTGGCCAGGACACCAGGGTACCACCCCAACTCTTTTCGAGAAATGCCCTGGGATTTTTAATGACCACAGAGAGTCAGGACCTTGGTTTTACGTCTCATCCGAAGGACAGCGCCAGTTTACAGTATAGTGTCCCCATCACTATACTGGGGCATTAGGACCCACATGGACTGCAGGGTGAGCGCCCCCTGCTGGCCCCACTAACACCTCTTATTTTATGGAAAAGAAAACAACTAACCAGCCACATTGTTGTATCTGCTGTGTACCTCTGGGATCTTTGAAGAAAAAACTAAAAGAGAATCTTGAATCAAGCTAATCGCAGCCAAGCAGACAAGATGGGAGGCCTGGTATTCCTTCAGTTTTGTAAACTTTCTCAAGTTTTAAGTGTTGGCTTGTGGTTGTCTCTGGGGGGTCTGTTTGTATTCGAGGTTAGCTGCACAAAAATAAAATAACTAGTTGTGAGAAGAAAGCCTCTTAAAATTCCACAGTTTCTGTGGGACTTAATGCACAGCTGATTGCTGAAGAGCTTGTAGAGAGCTCATATAAAAACCTACCGAAGCAACAGCGCTAGTGATAGTTGGTACTCAAAGTTAGGTAGATTCTCTAACTGCACACAGATGTCAGGAGCTGTTTGGTGTTTTGTCCACTAGAGAGCAGTGTAGATCCAAGATTCTCCAACCTCCTTCCTCTTCAGTCTGAATTCATTGCTGAATTTGAACAAATAGACAGGTAGACTTGACCAAGTTTTTTTCCCAAATATTTTTCCAGGTTTTCATATGAACCTTTTCAGTTTTGTTATCCTTTTTTGAACTAATTGCAGTGTCACGTCATCATTTGATACCATCATACTGGTATTTAAGTTAAGAGTTTGCATCTTGAAAATATTGTAGGCTTTCAGGTTAAAGGAAAAGACCTCATTGAGGATCTAAGTAAACCAAAATAGTTCAGCTTCCTGTCTGGTTCCCCAGCCCCTGCTGGTTGGCACTGAAGTGTAAAATTCCTGGGTAACAAGTTGTTTTCTATCAGAGGAATCAAAGAACGGAGTGTACACTTGGGCAAAGGCTGTGGTTTTCGATCATAAATCAAATAATCCATTTAACAAGAATGGAATAGGGGAAGGAACTAGTTAGTATCGCAAGGCTGAGTTTCAGAAGAAATGCAAGAATTGATAAAAACACCAAAGATCCACTAAAACATTAAAACAGAAGAAAGGACTCCATCAGCCCAGTAAGCCCATTTAAGTAATTCATTGATTCAAAGCTCTCCAGTTGTTTCTTGAAAGAAAGCAGGGTATCGGCTTCAATGGCCAATAGTTACTGGGTAGTTTATTCCACACTCTCACAACACCCTGGATAAAGATGTGCCTTCTCTTTATGGTTATAAATATACTGCCGTGAAGTTTCTACTTGTGCCTTCTAGTTTGTTTTTCACTGTTCATTCTGAAAAAATTCTGAAGAAAGCACTGGCTTTGTCAGCACCTTTGAAGATTTTGAGCACTTGCGTCAGGTATCTATAACTGGTGCTGCACTTCATAAAATATAATTCGTTTATTATTCCAGCACCTCTGCGTGGCTGTATAATGACACCAGCCTGTGTCGGGTTCCTGTTTGCCAGAGGTTCCTTATATCAATCCAATGAGAAGTTGCCCTTAAATTCTGGGTTCTGATTTTGTGACTTGTGCGTGTGTCTGTGTTTTTAAATGCAGTACAGGCCAAATTCTTTACTGAGTGTCGTTCTAATGCTGATTCAATCTGGTGTTCACGGTAATAATTCTGAAAAAATCTGTAATGTTTTTTTTATTTTTCCAGCTTGGCCTCATCATTGCAGTTCGCTACAGTCACAGGTACAGTGCACAGCCTTCTTTAATTTTCAGTTTTATTTTTTATTTCTGCAGGCAGGACTATAAAAAAATCCTTAAATTGCATTAAGGAAAAGAGCATATGGAGATTACTTCTGTTATGTGGTTTGTAATGGTTCTTGTCTTGGAACTGTGTTTAACTTACAGACAGAAAAAGCAAAATTAAAGAAAATGTCTTTTAAGGGGAACTGCAATGCTATTTTTATATTTTGCCGTTAGAAAGTATCAGAATTGATGAGTGTATTTCAGACTACCATAAAAGTAAAATGTATACAGCAACTTGTTAAACCTCCAATTTATACCACAAAATAGATTACATGTCTAGGTCTGCGCAGCACCATGTTCTGCGATTCAGAATGAGGCAACAAAACTTCCGGTGAGGTGAAGTGGCCCTGTTACATTGTAAACAAACTGGCTTGTGAATACAGCTCTATTAATCCAGTAGAAATATTGCTCTCAACCTCAAGACGGTTTTGCTGACAAATACTGTACTACTGACCTGTTAACTCTGCGTGCAGATTGCAATGGAAACTTTCTCTGATGAAATCTCTGCTGTACTGTTCACGATTTTGTGCTTAATTCAGTCAATCAATGAATTTACTTTTGCGACCACGGTTTAATAACAGCTTTGAGAAATTGGCACTGCTCTTCTCCTTATAATAAATAAATGATCATCAACAGTCATTCCTACTAGGGGATTGAAGTGTCTTCAATGGGGGAATTAGCCAACACACTCACCATGATTGTCAGGGACTAAACCAACACATGTTAACACAAGTATACCAAAGATCTACTCTGTAAGGATGCCCACATTTTAATATTTCTACTTCATTTCAGTTTTCAGCTCAGTGCTCACCCTTTTCAATGCTCTTTTCTCCATTGAGAAACGTTGTACTCCGTTCTGAATTTCTGAAAGACGGTTTGTGTGTATTTTGTCTCAGAGCAGTGAACAGGGTAGGGTTTAGATCAGGAGATCAGGTAATGTCAACATACTGGACCTCATTTGGATGATTGCTTACTACGTTGGTTGCCAGCCACATCACAACAATGTGGTATCTGTTTGGAGAAGAGCAAGAAGATTCATTTTTGGCCTAGAAATATTTTTCATATACAGACAGTGAAATGGAAATAAACCCCTTTTAGTCTTGGATAGAGGAAGCTCTGAGGCAAGATCAATAGAATAATTTAAAATCCTGAAAATTGTTGTCTCAGAGGAAAGCTGGTACAGTAGAAACATAGAAATAAGACAATTGACTGTACTTTTGGAACTGAAAACCATTGACCATTCCTTATATAAAGTGCTGTGGCTGTCTGGAATATCCTGTCCGGTCATACAGTTGAAGCAGTTTCTCTCCTTTTTAGTAGTTTTCTGACTTTTGTGTCTGCTCAGCCCTTTCACCTTTGTTTGTGAGGGGTGCTCTCTCTCTCGGATGCATCTTCCACACATGGTGCTGTTTTGAGTGGGGAAACTCGGCTACAGTATGTCCAATGAGCAGTCAGCTGGCCATTTCATGATCGACAAAACACAAAAAACTCCCTAAGCCATAGGACATGAAGTGTCCTGGTGGAGAAGAAAAGTTGTTTCAATGTAAGCCTAACTCAATTAAAAAGTGAAATCTCTTAGTTTCACACTCACACACACACACAAAAGTTATTTTCTGAGATATTTTCCATGGCTGTTGCTGTTCTCTTTGTAGATGTATACAGACTGGTTGTGTGTGTCCGCACACAAACTTTCCATGCTGGGGGCTGGGGGCTGGGGGCTGGGTTTTTTATCTCTGCGGTTGACACATGGTATCCCCAGAATCCCCCTTTGGCAGCAGTGTAAGCGCCTTTGTGCAGCATCACCACCCACACAAGGAGGATACACTTCCTGCACACAGAATCTGTGAAGCGCAGAGCGCACAACACCTCCCCCTGCTCACAGTCTCAGCAGCCCCCAGTGTCTAGGGCTCAGCTGCCCTGTCAGGACAGAACCTATTCAAAAACACAACACCTGCACCCAAGAAATACTTTCTGTGAGTAATAAACAGAATGCCTCTCTTCATAATTTGGAGGGAAATCACTTATTGCATGAACATTGCACGTTTACGATAGTGGTCCTTAATTGCACACCAAGAAAGACAAAAAAAAACACCACAGTTATATAACCGGAATTATTTTAATTGAATCGAGAGATTGCTTTGAAGGAAAGCTGTGAAGATGTGTTATAAACTGGCACTAAACGTCGTTGAGTCGTTGTGTAAAAAACAGTTATGCCTTTCTTCCCAGCTCTGCTTTAATCTTAAGTATGAACTTTAACGGATCTCCTGTGAACCTGCCGGTATGTTTGTTTTTGGAGTATGATGAATGTTAAATTTGAGATGTTTGGCTATATGTTGCTGCTTTCAGCCATTGTGTGTTGTTGTTGTATGGACATGTGCACTTAATCTCCATGATTCTGCAATGTGCACATCTTTACCAGAGCGCGCTTGTATTGTACAGCCCAGGGTAGGTATAAAGTTTGCCAGCTGGGAAGCTATGTTAATTATTTGGAAAAAAGGATCACATGATTTTCATGATTGACACTAGGGGAAGCAGGGAGTGAGTTGTGTTTTTAGTGCAGATGTGTACCATTTTAATTTTGGGAGATGAAAGCGTTATGCATGCTGTGTTAATGCCCAGGCAGGTGTCATGTGTGGACCTAAGAAACAGCAACCCTTCCTCCCTTCCTCCTCAACTGAGTCAGAGTACAGTGCCTCTAAAGCAGAAGTTTACTTCTTCTGCATTTCCTGTTACTGTATATTGTTTTCTGCTATTATTTTTGATTGCCTATAACCAGTCCAGCAAAAATACACGCTGACATGATGTCTCACACCTGGGCGGTTGTAATTAGAAGAGTTTAAAGATATAGATCCAGAAGAAAAGATGGCAAAGGAATAGAAAATTGACATTAAATGAGTATTGATTTAGAAATAGGCATGCTGTTGGAAAATAATCTGGAGGTTGTCTGGGGGCAGTCAAGGTGGAGACAGTTTTTCACTGTCAGTAAGATTTGAATGCAGCTGTGAGCACCTTCCTGTTTTGCCTGTGACACCTGTGAAATACAATGGCTTTTTAGCATCTGTTTTTACGTTTGTATGATTTTAAAGGTGCATTGAGGTACAAGCGAATAAGTGTTATTTTCCTAAGGGAATTGTGTTGCTGTTACTAAACGTTTGAAGTCCTGCTCCTATTTTGCTTGGTAGTGGCACCATGATTTTATATTCCTGTTTCTTTGTTTTTATTTGCATTGCTAAATCCATTATATTCCCCTCCATTTATTTCTTCTTAATATATTTTTCCTTTATATGTCCTAATATCTTCTGATTTGACTGAAGAAAACTGAAGTGTAATCTGATTAAACAGGTCTTTCAGCCTGCATACAAAAGGCATCTTCTGAAGCTGGCAGACTGAGGGCAGGAGATAAAACGTGGTAAATTCTGGTTAGGAGTTGCAGGTGTTTCCATGAAATCCTTGATAGGAAGCTTGGTGCTGGATTTTTTTCCCGATTTAAAGATGTGCTTCCCTGTGAGATTGCTACAAACTGGCTTGTAGCAGGAGCCAGTTGACATCACTGACTGGACTCCAGTGCCTGGACTGTTGCAGGTGGCCCATGTCTCTGATACAAATCTTCTGCCTCCTTCGATTGGCTACAGTGACGCGCTGTCGTGTGCTGGAAGCTGTTCTGCACTGCTTCTGCAGAGATGCATATTTGAAATTATATGTCAGCTTTTAGTAAGTCTCAGAATCTCACAGCAGCTAAGAATTTTTAATGATTTTGAGGTAGCTGATACATTTGTAGTTCTATTTAGAGTTTCATAATATATATTAAAGAAAATTAAATTGCTTTTTTGCATTTTGTGATTTGTGAGGTTAATTTGGTTCATTTTGTGTTCTTACATTAGCCAGTGTAAGTAATGGAATGGTGAAAGGGAGATAATGTTTAATTCAGCACTCTTTTTTTGTTATGATTTGCACCTGCTGCTCACTGTCATTTCATTTTTTATATGTTGCAATGTTGATTACATGTCTTGTGACCGTTTTTTTCGCATTCACATTGACCTCTGAAGAACATCAAAAGAAAGAGGTACATTACTTTCCTGCAGTTTCCCCGCAAGGGTGTTTGTAGTGTGAACACTCAGAATCAAGCTGTTAGCTGTCTCTTGAGCTCAATTACAAACAGCCCCCTCATTTGCTCATTTTAGGCCGTATAAGAGGGGCTAAAATTATGTTCCTGTTGTCTGTTGGTCAGCTGCAAGAGAACAATAGCTCTTGGAGACTTCCAGGTGATAAAGTGTAGTTTGTGGGTTCTGTGCTTTACTGAAAGATGCCTTTACCTCAGTTCCTGTTCATCCACAATCATCGCGGGGGATTTTTCAATAGCTGGAATGGGGAAATCTGACTGCAAGCCACAGCAATGGGGACACCCCAGATGACAAACACTTGATGGTGAAAATAAGGAATCAAGCAAGGAAACGTTCATGGAAAGTCCATGGATTTTGGCTGAATTAGGGGAGAGAAGCAGACCTTTAGAGCAGGAGGTACAGTAGGTTAGTTTGAACAGCTGACAATGGGGCCTGATTACGTTTCTGCAACCACTTTTGCAAGAAAGTGGAGAATAAATTTCCCTTCGTATTGCAATGTCACAGCCTGGGTAGTGTGAAAAGCACTCAGAAGGATGTGACGGTGTGTAATTTAGGCTATCGCATTTGTATCGCATCGCTACTAATTTGAGCTGTTAACACAAGTGTAGGCAGTTGGGGAGTTTTTTTTTCTCCATTTTTAGACTGACAAATAGAGGGAACAAATCTGTATAACAAGCTAAATCAGTCTTTTCTTGTGACACAGCCAGGCTTTAGCCCCTGTTGGATCTGTACGTACAGGAGATGAGCACAGCAGCAAAACTGTGCGTGAGACCAGACTCTTCAAGTTTAGAGGCCTTTACAGTTGTTCCTCCCAGATAA